CTAAGGGAGAAAAGATGTTTGCTGAGAAGATACCATTGGGTATGGATTCAGCACTGTAGGAAGGTCCTAGTTCATAAAATCGCCTGTAGAGGTGGGAGATACCGCCTGTGGGTGACAGGGAAACCAGGCTACACAGAAATGTTGAGTAACCACAGGATGTTTAGTCTAGAGAAGAAAGATTACGGGACTTTGATGGTTGTTTTCATCACTTCGAGAACTATTGTGTGACTACAAGAGGAATCTTGAGACCTATTGGGGTTATTTCAGTTGGCCAATAGGGTGAGAGCGTTAGAGAGAGAGAGAAATTCATTTTGATGTCTTTGGAAACCTGCCTCTACAGCTTTCTCTGTCCATGAGCATTCCAGAAGCTGGCTGAAAGCCCGGCCTGTAGAGAAACAAACTCTTGCCAGTAATTCTGACGACTGATCTTTGAGGGCCCCTCTGATGCTACTTCTTTTGTTCCGAAAAAAAATGGAAAATACCAACTTGTTTCCCGTGTCTTCCTGGAGCTCTTAGATCCACAAGACTTTTGCCAGTGTGCACTGTGTATTCCTGTCTTCCCCACCTTCACTGGCAGCAGCAACCTTGACCGAGTTAACCCAATCCGTTACACTTGACCGAACCTAATCGCAGCGAATCTGTTCCAATCGTGATGGCATACTACTGAGTCACTTCAGAGTGAGAAAATGACTAAGACCCAAACCGTGACACCACTGGTCCAGCAGTCGGCCATGCAACTGCCACTGCTGAACAGAACAGCTAAGAAAAGGGAGATCTTGCCTCAAGACGAGGTAAATAGTAACAGGAGGTTCGCAGGCCGGAGCCCAAGAGAGGCAGTGCACACAGAGGTTCCTCTTGCAGCCCACGCCTTGACGTAGGGGTGTCGATCCTCTGAGAAAATGTCAAAGGAAGGGAGGTGCCTCTCAGTGCCCTACAGCTGCCCTCATATTTGCTGTGGCTCCATCTCCTAAGCTGTGCAGGCCAGACCAGCATCTCCTGAACACCTGCTATGTTTTTTTCAAATGTTCCCAGATGTCATCCTACAAATAGGAAAAGAACGTGACCTCTCTCTCTCTCTCTCTCTCTCTCTCTCTCTGCTGCCGTTTCTGTTGCCACCTTCTGACCAATCCTTGCTCGGTCAACAGAACGTGCAGTTCTCCTGGAAAAGACTGTGGTACTGCTCCTACAAGGAAGTGCCTAACACTGGAAACTGAAGTCACCCCTCCACTTCTTGCCCAATGCGTGGTTTTGGCACCGTGTCAAGCCTGCCTGAGGAACCACTGCCTAGCTCAGTAGGGTCACTGCTTTAGTAGTTTGACAGGCAAACATACAAGGCCAGTTTCAGTTGTCATTCACCAAAGCCATGTGACAGTGCAAACAATCCATCATCTCTTCAAGTTGGGATGGCCTACATGTTCGAAAAATTGTTCTGAGTAGTACCAAACGCCACTCGAAAAAAAAAATGAACCTCTTAAAACCAAGACTAAAACTAAATTAGGATTTGCTATGTGACTAAAGAGTTACAGAGAGATTACAAAAGTTTGGATAATTACCCTAGTGATAACTCTTACTTAGTGAAATGAAGAATAGGTAACTTTGGTATTAAGGTTTGACAGTTTATCAAGCTAGAGAACCATCACCCTAGGAGAAAATGTGAAAAAAGTATTATGCATATCAAAATACGATGAGAACTAGGAACTTTTCTCCCAAAGAAGCTGCCTTTTTCCAATCTATGACATTGGGAAGGCTGAACAGCTGGTGGTGACAATGGCCCTGGCAAAGAGGAAAAGCAAGAGTCAATTCCCAGTTTCCAGTCAGCTGAAGGATCCACCCACTATTGTGTTTAGATGCCTAGCACACCCAAAGGCTGCTTGGTGCCCTAAATAAAGCACTTCCCAGTAGGTCTTTCATTTGTAGGAAGAGCAATAGATCACTGTGCGGCTGTGCTTTGTTAACCCGCTGCTAGCATTTTTAGCCCAAATGCATACGTAACGCATTTTAACAGAAGAGGGCTGGTAAGGATCCTGCGAACTAAAACCTCGGCTCCAGCTGCTGTGAGTTTAACACTCAGAATGACTTTGTCGCCTAGGCACTACCTGGATTTAACAGAAGAGGGGACCGAGGCCAAACGCTTTTAGGAAAGTTGTGTGCATCGCACAGGTAAAAATTAGCACAAGAAGTGTTGGAGCTATTATGGCGTGACTCATTCCAGAGTCCGAGTATTCAACTGTAAGGGTCTGTCACTACTCTGGTGACAGGACAGGAGGTAACAGCCCTTCCAGAAGGCAGGAGGATTCAGTTCAAGGTCATCCTCTTCCACAGAGTGAGTTCAATACCAGCCTCAGTTATAGGAGATCCTGTCTCAAAACACTAACATAAATAATTAGGTGCCTAGAGCGCATGGCATTATATTGATCCATATATATACATATATGTGTGTGTGTGTGTGTGTGTGTGTGTGTGTGTATGTGTGTGTGTATCCACACATATATGTAGAGGGAGAAGAAAGAGAAAGCATGGTCCATGCATGCATTGCTAAATGATAGAGAGATATTCTGGAGAATGTATCATCAGACACCTTTGTTGTTGTGTAAACACTATATAGTACATGTGGACAAACCCAGACACACACCTACCACACACCTAGATGATACAATATATGTACAGCATTTCCTGCTTTTCCAAAACCATCAGGAACCAATGAATACCCAAGAAAAGACAGTGTAGTCAAGAGCTACAGTAACTACGGTACAGTGCCGTGGCTGCCAGCCTAACGTGACATACAGTTTTCCAGCCAACTTTTAAAATTGAAGTAGGCATATGAGCTAAGTAACACCAAGAAGGATAGTAAATACAAATGCTAACAACAAAGTCATTTGTCATCATTCTGCATTATTAGGGAATGTACAGAGTAATTACAGTGATCAGAGGGTGGGCTGGTTCATACCAGCATCGTCATTATCACTAACCTATGAGTCATCATGATATGACATTGTTGCAGAGCATATAACTGCATTGACATGGTGTTTAGACACAGGTAAGAAGGGTCGCAAAAAAAAAAAAAAACAATAACCTGTAAGATCATCTATTTCGCATGTTTGGCGTAACATTCTAGTTCCGGTGTCATGTCTAGGTTACAGTGTGATAAGGTGAGAGCCATACTGAGTTATTTTATGATCTCTTCCGTGCAGGGGTGGCATGGTCCAAACCAGTGAGCAGTATGAATTTGTGCACCACGCCCTGTGCCTCTACGAGAGCAGACTTCCACCAGAAACTGTCGAGTGATTCCGTGAAGATTCACCAAAGTGTCCATCTCTCACGGGTGACTAACGGAATCACCTGCTTAAGGCTCCTCGAAGGAGCCCCCCTGCAGCGGATGAGGAGGCTCTAAAACCAACCTGAGGCGTGGACTGTGGAAGACCTGACAACAGAAATGTCTGCCAACCCTTTGTGTATAGGAATGCGTTTGTAAGCACCCTTCCAAATTATTTCGAAGGTTCCATGCTGATGGTGGTATGATCATTTCTCACACAGCCTACGGTGGACTTTGTTTCGTCTGTGGTGATTATCTGCCACACGGAATCCATGTGTGTAATATTCAGTGACTGGCACTGTGGCGGCGGGAAGCGCTGCTGACGCCGTTCTCATGTGTTTAGATGCTTTCGTGTGCACCAAGTCTGGCTTGTGAGCGGACAGCCAGCTCGTCACCTGTTCCGGTTTAAGTGCTTTACCTATCTCGGTTACCAGACTCTTGCTGCTCAAGTGGCAAGTGATCAAGAACAGATTTTTAACAAATAACGTTTTTGTTTTGGAAGAAAAAAAATCAAATGCAGTAACTATTTTATATGGAAATGTGTCTTGATAATATCTATTAAATGTGTATTTATAGTACCTCCTATGAATCAATTACAGAGCACAATGACTGTCATTGGATACATATATACATATATATGTATGTGTGTGTGTGTATATATATATTCTATTATTAGGCACGGAGTTGGCTCTTGTTTTACAACTCCAACCACTATATTTCTACATTGTGACTTGTTTTGCTTTCAAAAGGGGATCAACAAATTTATAGTCACTCTAAAGTATCACTAATTTTAAACACTCATTTCTCTTCTTCTAAGAAGGGATTTTTGAATATGCTCTCTACCTGGAATCTCTCTCCTAATACAGGGCAGGTGCCTTGGGGGGATGCTCCAACCTGCCTCATTCCCCGAAGTTCTTCTAAGGATGCTGTCACGCACATCCTTATGTTTCTAAACGCTTTCACTTCTCAAGAGACAAAGGAAAGCAAGACAAGAACCCCCAGCCAACATGAGATGTTGGGCTCATCTATGAATGTTCAATTCAGCGAAGTTGACATTATTTCATACCTACCAATAAACGGCTCTTAACGCAAAGTAATGAGTGGCGTGTATTCTTTTCTTACCCCCGTTTGGAAAGCAGCCATCATGTGGGTAAACTGAAGTAGGTACTATGGTGGATTTAATTTCAGTCTTTTCCTTCTCCCGGACAGAGAGTTGCCTCTCTCCAAAAGGCGTTCTTTATAATCACTGGAGAGATAATGATCTGGAAGTGCCATCATTATGTGGTTTCCCTCATAGACGCCAGCGTCTCATTAGACAAGCAGTACGTGTTTATGTCTTTCTAGCACTTGTCACAGACCCCCATAAATTGCATGGCTTACGTATGTTGGACAGAATCATATCACCTGAAAAGAAGGCGATGGCGTAGGAAGACTCAATTATCTGACATTACGATTCTCTTCCTTCGTCTTGAGGTTAAGAAATACTCATGTGCCAAAGAGACAGCAGGGGAAGACGCTCTGGGGTGTATTCTGGCTCCTGGGGGCTGGGTCTACATTTTAAAAAGAGGTGATCATTATACCTTCTTTCTAAGGAAACAGACAGAAGGACACTGGTGTAAAACTTCCCCAAACAATTCAATTGGAGGAAGTGTGTCACTGACTTTTCCCCTCTCCGTGAAGCACATTTCCTTCCTCCTCTTTGCCTCTCTTATCTAGGAGGATTTTTTTCCCCCAAGCGAAGCATGAACCGTTGTTTAAGTGGAAAATGGAGGCTGAATTTTACATGGCGATTCTAACCTGCCTGATCCTCGGGAGCTTGGGTGAGTGGGTCTGCCTCAGTTTCCTGAGGCATCGTCTCTCTCAACGTTAGCCGAAGAGGCTGGTAGCCTTTTGAGAAGTGTCTGAAATAAGCCAGAATCGGAGCCAGGTCTCCATGGCAGTGTAGCCAGAGACGATGGGGAGGGAGGATTAAAGGAGACAGCTCTGGCCACACTACTGAGATTTCTCTCCAGAAGAAAATAAGTATTTACCAAGTGCCTGGGACAGCTCAGCTCCTGGAAGAATGGGCCTTGGAGTGAGGAGCCCTGAGCAAGCATCTTTCATTATTTATACGTAACAATCTATAGAATTCTCTGTAATTTTTTTCCAATCAAGTTATACGTTTACTTTCTTCTCTGTTAAAGAAAAATACATACATCAGGAATATGATTCAAGAGAGTGAGGGGATGTGCTTTATTTGGGAGCTGTCATTTGGAAGGACTGAATATTTCCGTGGAAAAGCTAGGTGGTTTAGGTTAAAAACTCCTTGAAAATGTTTTCTGAGCCTGAGTGTTTTACTGTGAATGTTTTTAAAGTGGCATTTAGTTTTCAGGAAATGCTGATGTCTTTTAAATATGTTGGTATTTGGTGGGAAACTATACACATTGTCACCAAATCGATGTTTATCTGCAGGGCTTCAGGGACATAGCCTCTGGTAATTAATACTTGAGTTGTTGACTACCAACCACAACTTATGCTTCGAAAGATGGGAAATTCCATTGTATTTTTATCTTTTAATAAATGTACCCAATTTTTAAAGTGCTTATTCAGACCATATAACTCATAAGCAAGTATTTATTTATTTTGGGAGCATAGGGACTGAGAAGGAAGCATCTCTCTCTTATATATGACGAAACAGGGTTATGATATGAAGAAGACCAAATGATTAAAGGGGACCAAGCTCTGTAATTGACTTTCGTAATGCACACACTATTCTCTGTGTTTATCTTTCCTATTCCAATGAAAAGCCATATTCCTTGGATGACTTTGTTTCTTTTCCAAGATCCTTTTCATTTTCCCAGTGGGGATTTATCCTCACTAAATCATACAGAAGTTTAATAAGGAAGTGCTATGTGTAATGTTTCAATATTCTTTTTTTGGCCTTGTTTTTTTGCTTATTTTTTTGGTGGGTTTTTTGGTTGGTTTGGGAGGGTGTTTTTGGTTGCTTTGTTGCTTGGTTGAGCTTAGAGGATGTTCTTGGTTGGTTTGTTGACTGGGTTTGTGGGAAAAGAGGGTTGTGGTTTTGTTTGCCTTAGGATTTTAAGTCATGTGAGCTAAGTCTGAGTCTATGTATTTGCAACGCTAGAGAGATCAAAATATAAGTAAACCTGTTATTTTTAATGCAGTTAGTTATGTGGGCAGGTGGTTTTGCTACGTAATGGCCTTTCCATGGTACTTCATAAGTCTCTCATCTTCCAGAAGGGTTCCAGATAGTCCATGTCCGTAAACAGCAGTGTCTTTCTATAAATCAGAAAGTGGTTATGAGCTCATGCAATGCCACCAGCCAGAACCAGCAGTGGCTGTCGACTGAGGATGGGAAGCTTCTTCACATTAAATCTGGATCGTGTCTGGGCGTCTCCAACTCCTCAAGGGGTCCTTTCCGACCAGCAGTCTCCACTCCCTGTGCCCAGGCACCCCGATGGACCTGCCATGACCAAGAAGGCTTCCTTGAGGTGGAAAATACCTCTCTCTTTCTCAAGAAACAAAACCGTAAGGTAGTGGTCAAGAAGATTAGTAAATACCTCGATAGCTGGATGAAATTAGACACCAACAAGGAAGGAAAGCTGGTCAGTGAAAACCTCTGTGCAAAGCAAGGTGAGTGGTGTCGAATGAGTTCTGACAGTCATTCTGGTCTTTGCAAAGCCCAGGGAGAGCCATCTCCTCTGCAGGACACATCCTTTTGCAAACAGATGTATACTAAGTGGTACCCAACAATGGAAAACTTCATTATCCTCATTAAAGTCAGCAACTTCTCTGCCTCTGTTGTTTCCTTTCCCTTCTTTCCTTGTACTTAGACTCTAAAATGTGTCTGTGCATTCACATGTGTGTGAAATCTTGTGTGAGTGCCACTTCTTGACTATAGAAAGGTCAGAGGACAGTCATGGGTCTTAGGCCTTGACGTCCATTTTATTTGAAACAATGTTTCTTCTTCACCCCTGCATACATTACACTAGATAGTCTACACATCTCTGTACATCCTCCAGTCTCCATCTCTCATCTCACCACAGGAGAGCCTTGTGCTATTGAACCTGCACCCTTCAAAGGGTCCTGGGGATCTGAACTCAGCTTTCATACCCACTGTGCCATCTTCTCAGGTCCAAAACTGCTTCTTGAGTCTCCGTTTTGTGCCAGACACTATGATCAAACCCTACTAGGTGTCGGAATATACATCCAGGCATATGTACACATGTAATGACTAAAGTCAATGGCCAGGAAATTAGATTCAACTGATCTAGAAATTTCTATCCTCTAATGAGGAGGAGTTTTAGGACACAGGAAGGAGCATCAAAAAGCAGGGATGATACCAGGCCATGCTTCAAAACTGTCTCATGTTGGTGCTCACATCATTCCAAGGGAACATCCTTTTTTTAAATACAGTCAAAGCCAATGAGTCGTCATAATAATTTTTCTAATTGTTGATAATTAGTGTCCCCAGATAATAGATGTGCATAAAAAAGTATATATGCACACACAAATTCCTGTTTCAGTACATAATTGTCCTAAGTAGGAATATTTGTGGAATATATATGTATTTTCATCTTCCCTTCGGGTTGGCTATATTCATGGTGGCTCTGCTCTGCCATCAGAGGTTGGCTCAGGGAGTCATGAAAGATAAAACTTGCAAAATTGCAATACACTAGGCATGAAAGAAACTTAAAGAACACTGGGAGAATCACTTAGAAATGAATCTTCACAGTAAATAGACTGAAGTTCATCAGGATATGATAAGTTGTCCTAATTTCGAGTTAACTTCATGTCTAGTGTACATCCCTTACAAGTGTGCTGACTCAGGGCTTCCCAGTACTTTCCTGTGCTGACCCAACAGTTCCCAGTACTCCCCAGTTCTTCCCAGTGTTGATCCAGTGCCTCCCAGGGCAGAGCCCATTCAGCCCAATGTTTCCCAGTCCTTCCCAGTGCTGACCCAGTACTCCCTGTGCTGACCCAGTGATTCCCAGTCATTTCCAGTACTCCCCCAATTCTTCCCAGTGCCTCCCAGTACTGATCCATCTAGCTGGCTGCTTGACCAAGTCATGAGGAAATGGCAGAGCTTACTGAAAACACAGATTCCCAAGATCCCTTCCCACCTTCCTTTATCCACAACAACCTCAAGATCTGGAGTCAGGAGCTATGGACCTGTATTGACACTATCATGGGTCCACAGTCCTTCTTGGGGATCAGCATCTACTGTACCTAAAACCTTTTCCTAGTTACTCACCTCTGAGACTGATTGGAGATTTTCCACCATGGTAATCTTTAAGCAGTGTTCTGTCTCTCAGGCAAATGCTAAGCAAATACATAATTAGATACTAGTTGAGGGCTCTTCTGCAATAGACATTGAGGTTTATGATCTCAATCCTATCACTTCTGACCATGCAAAGAGAGTAAAAATACAGTAGTCTATTAGAAAATTCAATTTTATCGGAACATATACAGCACATAGAGCAATCAGTACAGTTTCGTCCCTGTGGCTGATTTGTTCAGGTCTGCCCTGAGTGACACAGGACCATGCTAAATATAACAAATTGTACTCTTTTATCTCTTATTTTCTGAGACAGGGTTTCTCTATGTAGCTCTGGCTGGTCCTGGAACTCTCTCTGTAGACCAGACTGGCCTCAAACTCACAGAGATCCTCCTGTCTCTGCCTCCTAAGAGCTGGGATTAAAGGCGTGCGCCACCACCCCCCAGCAACATTTTTACTCTTACCCACAGGAAGGGAGACCCATCTCTAGCCTCAAATCAGGCAAGGCAGGTGTTTACCTCCATGCTGCCTGCAAGGCCTTGGTGTTTTTGAGACAAGGTCTTACTGTGAAAGCCCAGACTGACCTGAAACTCACAAACTGTGGGTCCCACAGAGGGTCCTGCTTCCCAAGCACAGAGATTGCAGGTGTGGAACACCCACTTTGAACAATTACGAAAATAATTATTTTTCAAATCACTATTTTAAAGCTTTTTAAAAAATCAAAAAAACAAATAGCAGGGCTCTAAAGGTATCATTCTGAGTTGTCAAGATGGCAACTTGACCATGATGTCCTAAACATCAACCTGTCTCGTTAAAAACAGAAAAACAAGGCTCATAGTGCAACCCATAATCCTACTCAGAACTTGTCAGTATCTGGCTACTGAAAAGTATCTCTTTGGGTTCATTCGGATTTCTTTTTCCATTTCATATTACTAGCTCTGTTCTGCTTTGATATTTAACTCTGCTGGGTATTGGTATGAGTTTTCATTTATTAATTTTAGTATATTTCCACTTGGGTATGTTTTTAAGTGCACCTTTTATTTCATTGACCACTCTTTCTGGTATGCTAGTCATCTTGGTCATTTCTTACGAATCTACTCTAATTCCCCTCTTTGCTCCGTTCACCCTTACAGAGCCCAGGACTGTCTGGAGTGTGTATGCGTGTGTGATGCCTTTCCCTTCCTTCAGCTTCATTGTTAGCTCTCCCACACAATTTACTCACTTTTAATATATGTGTTATATTTTATTACTTTTGACGTTTTTCTCCAGAGTAAAAAAAAAACTAATACAATTAAAATGTCTTGTCACAAGAATGATGTTAAGAGAAACTAATTTGTTTATTGTTCTTATCGTTACCCAAAAATCTTTTTTTTTTTTGATTTTGCTTTTTTGTTTTTGTTTTGAGACAAGGTCTCTCAGTAGCTATGGAGCCTGTCCTGGAACTCACTCTGTAGACCAGGTTGGTCTCGAACTCACAGAGATCCGCCTGCCTCTGCCTCCTGAGTGTTGGGATTAAAAGTGTGCACCACTACCACCCAGCTATACAAAAATCTTATATCTCGGTTAATGAAGATTTTTGAGTCTGATTATTAGTTTCTTGCCCTTTAAAAATGTGCTCAAAGATGGCCTTGACCTGGTAAAGTCAACACATATCTTATCATCTTACAGGTGACCTTGGTCTCACTGAAAGCTAGTAACAGTTTCAGTGGGAAAATGTTTTGGATTGAATACAGGATGCCCTGCTGGCCTTGAATTATGTCCTAGGAAGAATTTTGCTATAATGTGGAAACAGTGCAGTACAATGGCACAATACAAACACTAACACTAGCTTTAGCATATTGTTACATTGTGCAAGAACTTTTCCTTGCCACCGTCAAAACATCTTCCTCTTCAGTGAATTGTGAGATGTCTGCACACTTCCAAAATTGTTAGAAGATATAGACACCAAACACCAAAAGACTTATTTTTAAAATAATTCCATGTCTATTCCAACAGAGCTCAGCACTAGAAAAATGACCTTAACTTTGAAAGTCTTGTATATCTGTAACAAGGATTGTCTTTCTTCCGAACTATTTTATAAACTTCCAGTACCCACATGAGAAATGATCACAATTGCTGATTTGTAATGCCTTTAATCTTGGGATGTGGAAGAACAGAATGGGAGTCCATGGCAGCCTCAGCTACATGAGACCCTGTCAAAGAAAGGAGAGAGGGAGAGCCAGGGTAGGAACAGAGGGAGAAGGTATCAGGGCTGCCTTTTGACTCAAAGTGTGTTTATGGCTAAAACTGTAGACTAGAGTCACCCAGGGAACCGTAGAAAGGCAGAGTCTGGGACCCACACCAAATCTACCAAATTGAAGTTTCTAGAGTGAAGCTGCAACATCAAACTTCAAAGGTGTCTTTGACACCAACTATTATGGCAAGCCACTGCTTTAAAGTCTATAAAACATAGAAATTGGATGTTCGGGCTAAAATTTCTCTAGCTTTTAAATAGAAAAAAAAATCAAAAACACAGACATGAAATACAGAGATACTGGATTTATTTCTTTGGCAAAAAGGGGAATGGGGAGAAGGTTGCCTCAAATGGAAAAAGGGTACGTTTTCTCTGTGTTATTTGAAAAATATATGAGGATGATTAAAGATGATTGCAGTAGAAGACTGAGATTTTTCTCCATATAAAAGCCAAAAGCCAAAAGCAATGGTAACATCTACAGTGAGAGTTGCAGCCCAAATCTCCAGAATGTCTGATCATTTCTCTGGAGAGTCTAATTTCATCCAATGATATGCATGTCGGTTTTCTTTTTCTAAGGTCTTACAATAAAAACTCACCAGCCATTTTTTTTAGTGAAGGAAGCACAGCCTGGCAAACAAGAATGCAATTGCATACTAGGTATTAGGAAGCTTGACTTGGGTCCTAACCCCATCATTACTTTCTAAAAAGGGCTTGGGAACTAAAACTGTATTATGTGATCCTTAACTAAGAAAATCAGCATTGGGCAAACCTGAAAGCAACAGAAATACTGACCTCCATCTGCTTTTTATCCCTACACTGGCAGGCGCTTTGGAGGGAGACGTCTAAACTCTAGACTCTGAAATCAAGACTGAGAAATTAAGGCTGCTTCTTAAAACACTTTTGCCAAAGTCTCAGGGAGAACCATGGTTTAACATGAGGAAACACCTGGAGTTTAATCGCTCACCTGTGTGCAAAGTGTATAACCATGACACACAGGCAGAGACCGTGCTAAATGATGTGGGAGGAAAAAAATGAAATATACAGAAAGAAGCATCCAGAAAGATATCAAAATGTGAAGCTATCGAAGTGTAGATTGAGTAGACATAGAAGGAAAGTTGTAGATAATACACGTGATTGCCCACTTACATTTGAATTTCAGATAAATTTTAGGTATATTAAGATAAATATTAAGTATGCTATAAAATATAATTTTTGAGTTGTTTCCTAGCACTAAATAAATAAACTCAATTATACTGAAATATTATTACCTTAACTTTGAATTTAACTGGTGTCCGATACTTTTCTTTGCTGAAGTGTCTGTCCACAACTACCTACAAACAAAATCCTTGGCACTGCCGTTTGTGTCAAGGAAACAATGCTTATTCACCCATGTTTCTTTTTTAACTTTTTCAAGACTGTCTATTTAGGCTGAACGGTGGTGGTCCATGCCTTTAATCCCAGCACTCGTGAGGTAAAGTAGGCAGATCTCTGTGAGTTCGAGACCAGGCTGGTCTACAAGAGCTAATTCCAGGAAAGGCTGTCTCGAGAAACCCTGCCTCGAAAAAAAAAAAAAAAGTCTGCTTATATTTCATTACCATAATGGACCTTTTCTGTCATGAACCATTTTTGTCCCATAGCCCTTCTTATTTACATACATTGCCATAGGAAATGTGCTAGTCAGGTAAAATTAGGATGGGAAGAAATGAGACTCAAAAGAGGGGTAAGTAAAGTTAACTAGAAAGTGTGACTAATTCCTTCTTTAAGAGGGGCTACGTGGGACATAGTAGTTGCCTACTAAAGAGTTGTTTTATTCAAAGTACAAGGAAAGAAGTGATAAGAAATTAAAGTTGCTCTGTGTCTTAAAGCCCCCACTCTTTTGAGTTAGTTACCTGATTTTGACAGGATTTCCTGGGTTTATCTACCTGCCAACATAGCATTGGTAAGCCAGTGAAGCGTCCAGACACACCTCTCAGACTGGCAGACTTTTCCAATGTGCGGCTTTGCCCTAGGGTATGGCTACCCAGTGACTCGAAGGCCTGGGAGCTTATCAAAAATGTAAGAAGAGCCAGGCAGCGTAGCACACACCTTTAATCTCAGCACTTGGGAGGCAGAGGCAGGCGGTTATCTGTGAGTTCAAGGCCAGCCTGGTCTAGTTCCAGGACAAGCCCCAAAATTACAGAGAAATACTGTCATAAAAACAAACAAACAAACCAAAGGTGTAAGATGAGCACAATTTTTTGCTTGTTTTTAAATATTCAAAATTTTATCCCACCTGCTCATATATCCTAAATCACTAGCTACTCTTTTTTTTTCTTTTTTTTAATTTAATATTTATTTATTTATTATGTATACAATATTCAGTCTGTGTGTATGTCTGTAGGCCAGAAGAGGGCACCAGACCTCATTACAGACGGTTGTGAGCCACCATGTGGCTGCTGGGAATTGAACTCAGGACCTTTGGAAGAGCAGGCAGTGCTCTTAACCACTGAGCCATCTCTCCAGCCCCACTAGCTACTCTTTTAAAAGATAGCTAATTTAGAAACTACAACAGCCTTGCTGGGCAGCTCACGCCTCTAATCCCAGCGCTCAGGAGGCAGAGGCAGGTTTGAGGCTACACAGCCTTGGCTACACCGAAAAACCCTGTCTCAAAAAAGGAAAGGAAAAGAGGAAGGAAGAAGAAAAGAAAGAAAAGAAAATACAGCAGTCTCATGATTGAAGCCTCACAGGATTAAAAACACTCCCCACCCTCAGACAGTATGCTATGGTTAGACAGGAGCGAGACATTCTGATGTGCTCTTTGACAGTCAGAGGTACATGGGAACGTACTGCATGTCTCAAAAAGCTAGGAGGAGATTATAAATAATTACACCATGAAATTTAAAAAGATGTTTGAGGAGATAAATGTGTATGATCTGATTTAAACATTATATACTGTATGCAGAAATTTAAACATCACTAACACTTCATTCATATATAATTTTACGGGTTTATATATTAGTTAAAATAAATTAACACCACTAAGGTTCTTATCATAAATGTTTGGATTATGGTTAAAGAAATAAATATCATTAACTCCTCCCCCAGCAAGGAGCCACACTCTTCATGATGTAGTTAGGGAAGTCAGTAGCAGTGATTCTCAAAGCTGTTATATCAGCTCCTTTGGGAAGCTGATAAAAGCTATAACTATTCCCTAGCACTGCTGTAAGAGGAATTGAATTCCCTTCGATCAGATGTGTGGGTAGACCTCTGGAAACTCACAGACTACTCCTGAGACCAATCCAGTCATCCAGATAGCCGTAGCATGATACTCTGTCTTCTGTGCAGAACTGGCCTTTCCATATACAACAGATTTTCACAATTCTGCCTCCACCGTGTAAAGCTGGCAGCTGGATCAAGGATGTATATGCTGATATGCTGGACAGGGCATATGGACATTTTCCTATACTGAGGAGCTCTTGGCTTTTCTATACACTACTACCACACGCTCCTTATCGAAGGGACCTTCTTTTACTTTGTTAAAGTTGCTTTTAGATAGGAATATAGCTTAGTTAGTAAAGCCCTTGCCTAGCCTAGCCTACACAAAGCCATGGGTTCAACCCCTAGCTCTGTATATACCAGGCATGGTGGTCCACACAGGTAATATCAACACCTAGGAAGTGGAGGCAAGATGAACAGGAGCTCAATGTCCTCGGGCTATATAGCAAGCTCAAGATCATTCTGAACCACGTGATGACCTATCTCAAAGCAAAATCGTTTTATGCGAAGAGTTCACATAAAATTCATAAAACGTGAGAATGATGTTTGTCCCCTGTCCTTTCTTCCCTTCAGCTGGCCTGGGAACAGAAGTCTCAGTGCGAATTGCTAGGAACTCTGTTGCACCGCAGATGCTCACTACTTTCCACACAGTTCCATACAGCCTGGAACACATTAGGAACACCACAGAGACATTCCTCGGGAGTACTGCAGAGACCTACAGGCCAAGCAGCAGCAAGACAGCTCTCCCCAGCCTGCACACGACGGGGACTACAGTCACAGCCTGGAGTCCATCAACTACTCCACCTTCCTTCAGCATCACTACAGAGGTAAAAAGAGGCGGGTGGTATGGTTGCGAGTGGTCCCAGTAAACCCTTTCCTTGAAAAGACTCTCTGTGTTCAAAATGCCACGGTGCACTAAGAAATCGGTCATTTTGTGTCTAAACTGCAAATTGTACACAAACGGATTTGGCAGAATGAGGAAAACTTTGAAATTGCTGCATCTTGATGAGATGGAGTAGTTGGGCTTGGTCCTGCTGTCCTGGTACTCGGTAACCTGGTACAATAGCGTTTTGTGGACCAAAGGCAGGGTTCGTGATCTTAAACATAGCCCGAAACAAGTAAATAAATGCTGATGCCAGTATTTGGTGGTTCCAAACCATTTGTGCCCTAAGGGGCAAGAATCACAAAACAGTGACAGATCCAGAATCACTCGAATTGCTTAGGAAGACAATGATAAATAGAAGTCATGGCACCTCCGCATCACCATGCCCTGTGCGTCACCTACCTGTGGTCTTGATAGTCCCCACAGTGACAGAAGGGTCAAGAGAATGAACATCAGTATTGGCAGCTCGAGGTGTTACCCAAACACTCTTTCTGGTTTGAGTATTCATTTCTTTGGCTTTGCTTTCCTCTCAGAGATTCGAACCATCATGTAGACAATGATGGTGCAATTAGAAGAGACGAGAAGAGTTCAAGTTTGCAGAACACAGGTATATTTTGATGACAGGGTGCTAGAGCACATGCCAGGGTAAAGCCCTAAGTTAATCCACAGCACAGACAAAGAAAAAGTCTACACTTCACTTGAGAGTGTAGCTCTTTGCCAATAGGCACCCCGAATAATTTAAAGACTGAAGACATTCAATATCATCCAAATGACATCCACCCAGTTGGATCTCTCATTGTATTGAGCCTAATATTGCATATGGTCTTCCACTACTGAACATATGTATCATTATGGATCACAAAACAAATATAGTGAGAACACTGAACAGCTCCTGGGACTCTACTTTTGGTTCCACTTTTCTGTTACCATAAATCTTCCCTCTGACCCAGTTCTTCCCTTGCCTATGAAAAGGAGTTAGGAAGGCCCGGTTGGAAACTCTTTACATCCCTTTCAAGCAATACCCTCAATCTCTGTCCATTAATAGAAATATCTATCCTGAGAACACGCACTCTGAATCTGCCTTTGAAGGTCAGCTGTGCCTCTACATCCCTCCACTCGGTTGAGGCTTATGACAGAAAAAGAGGGGCACAGTTAAAGCTCCTTACTTCTACCTTAACTTCTGCCTACCTCTTGGCTCATTGTGGTCTCAGACTGTTAGCTTTGCAAAGTGGGAAAAAAGGACATGAGATTGGTGAGCCATGACTTAGGAGCCCCCCACGATTGGGGCACTCCCTAGTTCTTCAGCTCCTTAGCCATTTGATCCACTAAAGTGAATGAGATATTTGCACTTTTGAAAATGAATTCTCACATCCTTATTTTGTCTGTGTATGCCACCACAAAAACTCACATTCTACCATTAACTTAGTAGAGCATTTCATTTACATTGGAACTTAAGTATTTATAACAGTCCAGAAAAGATAAGTATATCAAACAAAGCACATGAAATAAAGACCATCCCAGACACCTAACTACCTGAATGCCAAGAAGTGGTCTTTTAGCATTAAAAGGATAATCTATCATCCTCCCAAAGCACAGAGCCCTTCCCATGTCTGACATTATGAAACCTAGAAATAGGTTCAAGAGTTAGCCAGACTCTGCAAAAGTATATTCAGAACAATCAGCTGTTGCAGATACACCACTGGTTGAGTCAATCTAACCCGGCATGACAGAGCTTACAGGATCATCCCCCAGCAGAATTTGTAGCCTTAGATAATAGCAGCACAATGGTGAGGGTTTTGTTGTCGTTGTTTCTTTGTTTTCTCAGGATTTCGGGAGGGTGCTTTTGGTTGGTTGGTTGGTTAGGTGGTTGGTTCATTGGCTGTTTGGTTGGTTGTTTGGTTGGTTCATTAGTTTGTTGGTTGGTTCATTGGGGGTATCATTTCTAGAAAGAAACCAACTACAGTGTTTATATGTGCTCCCAGATGGGGCACCCAACATTACTGGATTCTCACCTCTAGCTTTATTGAAGTTCCGACAAAATGTTCACTCTGTTTTGGGATATGAGAATAAAAAAAAAAAAAAACCAACTAAAACAAAACCATGCTGTCTCCAAAGGCAGTTTCTCCCAGTGCAAAATTCTGAACTCGAATCTAGCCATCCTTCCCATCAAACAACTTAAAGGAACGCTACTCCACAGTTTGTTATTAACTGCTGGAGTCTGAGATTTTGAAAAGTAACACAAGTCACTTATGGTTCAAAATTTGTGTCCTCTGAGAGTAATTGTGACAAAGAACATCAGGGGAACGTGAGTAAGGTAGTCAGCTCAGTTGTTGGAAATTGGATCTAAAGCTCTCTTAGTCGCCTTCTTCCTCACATAGCATCTGTTCGTGAAGATGTTTTACCGAGCTGGGTTGGGGGCGTTGTGTTTGAGTGAAGACAAGGTTTCGTGACTGTATGTGTTAGACGAAAGCACCTGAACAAAATGCTTGAAATTTTGGGGGAAAGAGGAAAAGTTTGAGCTAGTCTGGAACAAAATAGAATGGAGGTGAGCGTAATGGCACAGAATGAAAGGGGAGAGAGTGGACGGGGGTGGGTTGGTCTGGAGTGGACTCCAGTGGGGCTGCTCGGATGGTGGTTCCTCTACCACTTCATCCGGGCTCACTGCTGCAGCTACATTCAGCGCGGGAGGTCAGCAGGGCTCTAAGATCAACACTCAGCTCATTTGCATGACTAGCCCTCGGCATTGGCTGTGAGCCGGCCATCTAGGCTCACCTCATGACCCCTCATCCTCTAGTAAACAATACCAGCTTCCCTTTCATGATGGGAAGTTAGTCCAGCTTCATAAAAGGCCAAAGGTAAAGGCTGCAGGATTCTAGAAGTAGAGACTCTGGAATCACACAAGGCTCCTTCGGCCACATTTGGAGGTTAAAACAAGCTAAAAACCAGCTGAGATTCAAGGGATAGGGCAATAGACTCTGCTCCTTTATGAGAACATTGCAATATATATATATATGTATATATATATATATATATTGCACATACATATAGTTGGGGTGAATGCATAACCATTAAACAAGACCCTGTATATTATTGTCATCACCGTTACCCCATTGCCATCACCATCCTTATTTTGCAGATGTCTAAATAAAACATGCAGAGGTTAAAACCCAAAGACCTTCTCAAATGATTAAGGAGAAAGTTAGCAAGAGTATACACACATGCACATACACACACTAAGACACCATATTCTCTAATATATAGTACCTGTTCATCAAGGCGAATGCCAAGGAAGACATATTTGCTCTGCAGTTATCTCTCTTCGCTAAGCACACACAACGACCCTGAACTCACTCTTGGAAGATGCAGGGTGTTCCTTTTCTTTACATTCCCAATTCTCTCACATCCTCCCTGCTTTGTGATGCATTTGACCATGGAAGGTTATATCCTCGGACCAGGACTTGGTCTCAGAGCTCTATGACTATTACCCCTGCCTCTCCTCTCCCGACCTCCAACTCAAGACCTTAAGGGAATTAACAGGTCAGATGCAGAAATCAAGAACCGGTGCTTCTGTGTCAAAGAAACCGAGCCTAGGTCCTAGCAGTTTCTCCTCAAGTTGTGCTTCCTTCTTTGGACCGGAGGTCACAGTGGGCATTCATCTGCCTCACAAGATTGAGAATAAAGATCTGATTAAAGGAACCACCTTGGGAGGTGCTGTAGCCGAAAGGAAGTGAGGATTTACTAACGTTGGCTTCTTTTAGTCTTTGTTGTATCATCCCTACCCTGGCTGACTCCAGGCATGAGGAACCCACTTGAACTAGCGGATTCTGCAAACCTGCTCTAGAAGAGATAAAGTTGCTGACTGTGCAGAAAAGCAAGGTTCCTGGCTGGTTCTGATACCACTATCTACACATCTTGCCTAGAGGCTCACTGCCTGCTTCCTCTCCCACCCCACCCTTGTGCTGGCCCTGGGAGGAGCAGCATTTCCTCAGTTTGTGAATAGCCATTGTGGTTCTGGGCTGAGCTTTCGCAGTTCTGCGTTTCCTTCCATTTGGCCTTCAAAGAGATCACAGCCCAGTGTGAGTCTCCAAATAAGAGAGGAGGCTAGTGCAGAAAGTACCTCAAAACCAAGCCTAGGCAGCCTCCTTGTCTGGGCCACTTAGAGTGCAGGGAGATACAGGGCTGTCACCATTGTTATATAGGCAGACTAAAGGCGAACAGCCTCCCCACTGCCAAGAACAGGGGAGCTCAGCCTTCCTAATGATGCAACCCTTTAATGCAGTGCCTCATGGTGTGGTGACTCCAACCATAAAATTATTTTCGTTGCTACTTTATAACTGTAATTTTGTTACTATTTCGAATCATAATGTTAATATCTGTGTTTTCCAATGGCTTTAGGTGACCCCTGTGAAAGGGTCATTTAACTCCCAAAGGGTCATGACCCACAGGTTGAGAACCTCTGGCCTAGAGGAAACCATACAGACCACCCTCAAAGCTCCCCCATGGTGCTTAGACTGTCCATTGCGAGTAGAATCAAGTAGCACAGACCATGAAACTGATAAAGTTATTTTTAATTCTTATTTTTATTATTTTTAATTATGTAGAGGGAGGTGGGGTATGTGGGTACAGCTGCCCTCAAAAGCCTCTGGTCTACAGCTGGAGTGGTAAGCAGCTGTGAGCCACTCTACACGAGAACCAAACTCCAGCCCTCTGGAAGACCAGAGGCGTTCTGAACAGCTGGGTCATCTTTCCAGTTCTCATGTATCATCATTGTTGGAATAATTCGGGGCAGGAGAGAGACCTTGGAGGGCCAGGGGGCTGAGCAGCAAGTGAGAGACATACAGGCCTTGCAGACAGAGCTTAAGTGGGAACTTTTCTTGAGATAAAGTGTGAGAAGGGAAGGAAGAGGTAAAGAGACAGAGAGAAAAAGAGAAGAGAAAGAGGAGA